CTTATCTCCTCGATATGCGTTCATCTTTTTAACACCTTAATCTAACAGCTGAAACATCTCCCAAGCCTTCATTAGTGTCTACAAGAGCGGTTCATCACTAAATCAAACAAATCAGCTGTGCTTGTGATCAAAAACATGCAGAAAACGTGTTGGAAGCAGGCTGCAGCGCCAGGCATGTCCAGCTCCACTTTATTAAGTCCCACGGGGACTGGACCGGCACTCTGAAGTTGCAAGTGTGTAATCTGGCCACAGAGGGCAGTGGGGGGTCAATACCTTTTAATGTGTCATTTTAGCACATACTGGCTCAAGAAAATTATTTTAAAATATGAAAATGTTGCATAGTACGCCTTCAAAGAAAGTAAAAAGAGGGAGAATAAAATGCCAGTCCGTGGTATGTGTGACATTTTGAAAAATTCATTTCACTTTCAGGTCAAAGTTGACATTTTTTTAACATATTCTCAAATCGTTGCAAAACAGTCTAAACTATAAGCTGAAGGGTAGATACGTAGTATGATTACATTGCAGTGGTTTGTTAAATTTCACATCTATTGAATGCGATCAGTGAGTTCGCACCTCCAACAACATGGCGTTGTCATGGCAACTGATCAAGTCCCATTTACAATTAAAAACCTCCAATTTAGGAACCATTTAAAGCTTTTTTTTTTTCTCCAGTTATGCCATTTGTTATTTTTAATGGACTATCCAGAGGAGAGGAGTAGTTGAAAGGGAGATTAAAGGAACAGTGCATCTTTATTAGGAGATTCCCATTATTTTAAAGGTCCAACGCTGGCGAGAAATCTCTCAGTCATGAAAGGGGAATGGCAGCAGTCTTCCAGCTTGTTCTTTCAGGGCAATAAGTCAGAAAAGACAGAGTGGGATCACTTTAAAAAGAGGTCTGGTGTGATTTACACATGTATTTACATGTTCTTCAATAAACTAAAGGTCTGGGGCTCCAGTGTTTTACTGCTGTACAGACAAAAGTGGTCAAATGAGCACGGTGGACACAGACCGGTGTTTTACCGAGTGTGCTTTCACAGGTTTTTAGAACATCTGCTGATTTTGAATAAATAAAATCAAGTTCTAGTAAGAGACCGATGAAGGGAAATGTTACGTTTTTCGTTCGTGGTTCTTTTGACGGGCTACAGAAATTTAAAATTAGGATCAAGGAGTCCAAAAAAATGTTCATTGCTCTGCACAGCACGGAGTTTGGGTTTGGGAAGTACACGGGTCAGTGGTGCCAAAGCTGGAACAGAGCGAACGTCGTAGGCAGAACTGGAGCCAAGCAGCCTGTCCACAGCGGAGCTGCAGGTGAGGCTACACCTCCCACCCCGGCCGTGGCCAGCCGAGGGGTCAGAAGCTGCTCCTGGAAGGTGAAGTCCTCCATTGCCAGGTTGTCAGAAAGATCTGAGAGGGAGACGGCGGAGATGGGTGGAAGTTAAGGTGGGGGATGACAAATGTGAGAGAAGCAGGGAAAAGGAGGAAGGCGATTAAAATAAACACAGAAAAAAGCAGAAAAACACATGTCTGTGGTGCTGTTGTATGATGTCTTAAACAGCTGTAAAAACAACGTTACATCGGGAGAAACCAGAGCGTCTCATATAACCAGATGTGGCATGTTTTTTGTTGTAGACACATACTGAACCACACACACATATTTTCTACTCAGTGTGAGTGTTGAGATGTGGATTTACACGGTCATTTACTGAAAACAGAAAATAAAAATAAAAACCACAGAGGCTGCATGAAGTCATGTCTCAGAATATGGTACCAACAGAATCACTGACTGATGTGTGCCATCTGCTGAAACATGACAAACAGAGATTTTCTGTTGGTAAATCACATAACTTTGAATTAAAGTTACAACATTTGTGTCAGGGTACTCTTAACTAGGCTCTAACTTCTGACTTTTCTTTAGAGGCTGAAATAATTAAGAAAAAACCTCAAGGCTATAAAATGTGTCCAGCTTTATTGGTCTATCTGTGAGGATAGCAATCAGACAAACTAGAGCCAATCTAGCTTAAAGGGGACCCATTTCACCTATTTATAACCACTTATTACTGTTCTGTGGTTAAACAAAGTTCTTTGCACAAATCCCTCTCACATAAAGCTATTTCTGTTTAATTTTTTGATAGTTTCAGTACCTTCCAGAATGAGTCATTTCAGGTTTGTGTCACTTTAAGAAAACAAGCTGTTGCTGGCCACGCCTACTCATCTCCTGATTGGCTGCTAAGAGGTGAAGAGCTTGGATATCCAGGAGGAGTTTAGATTAGAGCTGGAGTGTTTTTCAATGTCAAGGCGCCAAGGGAGGATACTGTCCTTTCTTGGTCAAAAAAAACGGGTACATGGAACAGACTTACCTCACATGACTGCGGCTGTGGCTGACCGGAGGCCGCCTTTTAATTACGCGCACGGTTTACGTCCCACCCATAACATTTCAATATAAATACATAATAGGTCTTTTACTGTTTCCGAGGCGAGGTTGCTTGACATTACAATGCTGTCAATTTGCCGCAACGCCGTGGCGGCATCAGAGAGCCTTAGGTCATTTATAAGTGTTCCTCCAGTGTCAGCAGGTGGGGGGTGGGGTGGGGGTGGGGGGGGGGGGGTCATATGCTAATTTACATCATTTTTTTAGAAGCACCTGATCCCTGAAACCAAACTCTACCAGAACACGGATGGATGTTTCCATTCATGTTTGGAATGATTACAGAGGCAGTCGAGAGCCATGTGGTGATAAAAAAGGACACAAACGCAGTTTGAACGTTCTGTTGCTAATTGTCTTCACCCAGAGGGAGACTTGGGCTACACTCACACTGCAGTCCTTAATGCTCCGTTTGGATTGTTTGCACAGAAATCACTGGGATGAAAATCTAATTAAACACAACATTATGGTTCAGGTTGACGTCTCTTTGAAAACCGTTTAATATGTCTGATTCAGATCCTCTCATTAGGCGAAAAACCAGAATTGGTTATTTAGCTCAGAGATGCTGAACTTCGGTATTTAGCCTAGCATGTGCGGCAGTCAAGCTAGCGCTCTGCATCTTGATATTACACCAACACTGACGCTAGTAGCATGCTAATACATGCTTACAGGTAAAATAAATCAACCTTTCTGGAAAAATATGTTTTTGTCATTGGTCTTTAGCTATATGGAGACTGTTATTTAGTTAGCTTTAGCTTTAGTGGGTGCGTTTCACTTTTACCAATAAAAGTGACAATAACTAAGCTCTTCGCCAAAGTTGATTCGTTTTAATATATTTTAAAGGTAACTATGAACGAAATGTACGCAAGGCTTTAACTATTTGAAAACAAAGTATTTATACATTTAAAATGAAGAATCGATGGAGTGATGCATACAGACGCACGGCACATGTCAGCACCAAGCCCCCACAATGCGGCTCAAAAATTGAGGCCAAACAGGAAATACCAAAAATTGCAGTTCCACCCTCATCCACTAGGGGCTGGTGTCAGAAGCGAGCAAATCCTCATTGACTCCCATGTTAAAAATACCAATTTCACAGCAGAAATAAACATGTTTACAGCCTGGTACCAAAACATGTTTTTGGTTTAAATGATCTAGTTTACACTCATGACAACTCTGAGGGGGTGAATGTTTTTCTCACTCTTCTGTTTAAGTGTATTAAAAGCCTAAAATTCTGTATAATTAATGAGCATCAGACCCACGTGACCACAGAGCTAGCTCCGTGGAAAGGCCTCAGTAGAGCCTCGGTCTGGTCTGGAAACTGTTCCGGGATTTTGAGTCTCTGTGTTTGTGTATTCTTGTTTGGATATTATTTGTGCAATTGTTGGACAAAATGACTTGCTGTGGCATTAATTGCACTAAAAGAGCGTCCAAGGAGTCTCCACTTCATTTATTTCGGTAAGTAAAATTATATTTATGTATTTTAGGTCACTGCCGAGCTGAGCTTAGATGTTAACATGTACTGTTTAACCATGAAATTTAAATGTAATAGGGTAAAACCCAGTGCATTTAACATAATGCTGCACTTTAGAAAATGGGTTGAAATATAACATGTTGGTGGAGCTGGGTTCCCACTATCGGCTTGTGGAGCTCTTCTCCCCTCCCCGCAGCTCGGCGCATCTCTGTCTGATCGCAGCTTCTGTCTGCTGCGCGGGCTGCCGGTGTTGTGCCAAAGTAGATACCCCCGTCAAAAATTGTTTCCCCCATTCATGGGAGCGATACTATAATACTGTATAACCAGACGTGATCATGGAAACACGTCGCTCTCCGGTGAATTTACACTCGGTTTACACTTTGTTTTTGTTGGCGTTGCTATCACGAAATAGTTTATTTGCAAAATCAATCACAGTATAACCAATAACTACAGTAACGTTGCAGAGGGTTTCTTCACAGCAAAAATTAAGGAGGGATACAGATTTTATCAGGCTGTGTGGCCTCGGCTACCAAAATGTGTGCCCCCCCCCCCCCCCCCCCCCCCAATCAATAATGCACATTGGCGTTGCTATCACGAAATAGTTTATTTGCAAAATAAGTCACAGTATAACTAATAACTACAGAAACTTTGGAGAACATTTTCTTTTTTTAGACTTCTTAATTTAACGTTTAATGTTCTCCAAAGTTTCTGTAGTTATTAGTTATACTGTGACTTATTTTGCAAATAAACTATTTCGTGATAGCAACGCCAACAAAAACAAAGTGTAAACCGAGGGGAAACAATTTTTGACGAGGGTAACTACTTTGGCACAACACCGGCTTGTGGTTCTCCCCTCCCCGCAGCTCGGCGCAGCTCGGCGCATCTCTGTCTGATTGCGGCTTCTGTCTGCTGCGCGGGCTGACGGCTTTCAGCAGCTTTCGGGAGACCTCTGTGTTCCACCCGGTTTTACCCAGCGGTCAGCCCGGCGTATCTCTGACTCAGAAGCTCTGGTGTGGTGCACAGTTAACTCCAGTTGTAGCTAGGTTGCTACCTCCGTTAGCTTAGCTCCCACCTCCGCGTTAGCTTTGGGTTAGCTTCAGGTTAGCTTGTAGCTAGTTCGACCGGGTGTCGTCATTTGATCCCAGCCTTACAGCCCCACCCTCAGCTCCACCTCTCTTCCCTTTTGTGGAATTGTCTGGGCTTGACGGAACCTGTGACACGGTCAAAATGGCGGTGGTGGCCACCTCCCATTTAGCCTCAAAAATGTGTTATTGGAGTCTATGGAAATGAATTGTCCAGTATATATGACGATGGTTAGCACGGTGCTGCTATCCATTTAAAGATTAACTCTTGCAGTTAGCATTAAAGATGGCGTGGGTGAAAATGCCGCATGTGAAATAGTTGTACTCACTAGCTCCTAAAAGCAGACACATATCTCGACTTTGGACTCCTGTCCTGCAGCAAATTAGCTAATATTTGAGGGGTGAAAAAAGTTTTAGAGTCCAGCAAGGGCATCAGTTTGTTTTCAGAATTGCTGGGGACAATAACCATACACTTGAGTGGGGTTTAAAAATTGCTGGGGACAATAAAGTTGGCTAGCACAGGGGTCGGCGGCTCTGGAGCCGCATGCGGCTCTTCCATCCATCTGATGCGGCTCTCTGTGCTTGTAAAATAATGAATGGATATTTAAATAAAATGCTTTATATTTTACTGCATTAATTTTACATCTGTATGCCAATTCTAAATGGAAAGATTGTCTGCGTAAACCTGAACAGGTCCAACCCGGTCTTACTGTGAGACCGGGTTGACGCGTCACGCTTGTGCGTAATCATAGGCGCTTCCTGAGCTGGAGGATGTCAGATTCTGGGATTCTCCTCAGACGGCTCCTGGATGCGTCGTCACATTGGAGACAGGAACAAGCACTATTCAGCCAAAGTTTCATAATCAGGTGTGGCAGTGTGTGTCCTGTCACAGTGTCCCGATAGATCATGCGCCCTGGCTACTTGGCCAAGGGGTTGTCCCTTTGGATGACTGGTTAGAGCGTATGACTCTCACCCGGGAGTCTGGGGATCGAATCCCGCCCGGGTCCTCGTTTCTCCACCTTGCCACATATTGACGGATAAACTCAAGGATGTTGGTTGTTTTGAAAGAATTACCCCGAAGCACACTGATGCGCATGGATGAGCTGACTTTTTAATCGTTAACGCACATCGCAGAGGTAACTTGATTCCCATCAGAACATCAGAGCTTTATACTGGACACTGTGTTCAGCGCGGCTCGGAGCGCCCACGGTGGACAGTGGGCTGAAGATCTGAGGGGTTCGCAGCGCAGCGCAGAACCACGGTGCATGCGATAAGATTTCCTCCCACTGAAGCGGTCTGGAAACCCGGTCTCTCTGAGGGATGTGTCACTTGGAAAAATGTTCTTTTTATGAAATTATGAAACTTTGGCTGAACAGCGCTTGTTCCCGTCTCTAATATGGAGACGCATGACGCGTAGAGACATTTGATCACGCACAAAGTTTATGTGGAGCAGAAGCGGTCGGGCCACGGCAGGTGAAATGTTCCTAGCCTACATGAAGTGGAACTGTTTAATTGTAACATTAATATGTTACTGGACACGCTGGTCTGGTTGGTTAGACCAGTGTTTGAAGTGGAAAACACACACACACACACACACACACACACACACACACACACACACACACACACACACACACACACACACACACGGGTTACGTGTTTAATTGATGATCAGGCTGCTGTAAAATGTCATCTCCATCCACATCCAGACACAATTATCCTCTATTCTTTCTCTAGTTGCTCTGCTCTTGTCTGGGCTGACGTAGCTGACGGTGCGCGCGGCGCGCCTAACTAGCGGCTGATGCACATTTTACGCATTTGGAGAGGTGGGCTGGATGCTTTGTTTTACTGGAAGATGGTCCACTTAACGCACGGGTGTAGACTACATATTAATGACAAATGCATGAAAATTAAACTGGAGCTTTTACTTCATATTTTATAAATAAAAATGACGGGGGAACACATTTATGACGTCTTTTTAAACTAAATGTCCATAGCGCGACCTGCCTGCTTCACTTAAGTCACTGCTTATTAAGGTCCGTCTAAAATTACTGTGGCCCAAACCTCTGCAAATTGTTGTTCTTCGCTTTATCAAACTCAGACTTTGTACAGCTAATGTCAAGATGTAAAATTATGAATTCAGTCAAGCAGGGCCGGAGTGGAACACATTTTCAGCCCTGGAGTTTCAGACCCCAGACCGGCCCACTTAACGAATTATTATTAAAATCATGTTAGAACTTTATATGTATAGTCTACAAAAGCACACTACTCGGTAAAGCCTTGTAATTGTAAAGCAAGAAAGAGTTGAAAGAGTTGAGTTGCTTTACAAGAAAGAGCAACTCTATCTTGTAAAGCAAGAAAGAGTTGCTTTACAATGTAGGTTTATTTGAACATCAGTGCACATCTCCAACATTGTTCTTTACAACACATTCTCTAACAATATAACAATCTACATTCTGTTCAAACAGCTGTTCTGAGATTTTGGTGATTTGGCAAAATATGCAGGCTTATTTAATTTTACTTTCATTCTAATAGCGATCTGTTGTGGGCTTTGTGCATTTACTAATAAAAATACATCAGGTCACTACTATTATTTGGACATTAAAATTATTATAATGAAACTGATGTTTGCGCATGAGTTGGCTCACCTTCTATCCCAACAGGATCAATACCCTCACTGCTGGCTCCTGGCTCTTCTTCTGACACTACATTGTGTGAAAATTGTCACAATTCAGCATTCATTTTCCTTTTTTACACGCTTTCTGATCAATGCTGAATCATCTAGCATTTTAGAACACTTTCATATAGAGCCAGGATAGTTTTCATCATATAAATTTTAATAATATTCAGTTCACTGACTCAATAAGTAATCCTACCTGTACATGCCCGCTCTGGAATTGTGGGTTTCTGCCTGGTGCTTATTAGGCCTACTGGATCTTGTGTTTGACTCTGACAAGACAGTTTGGTGGCATCAGTCACATCATACTGTAAATTATATTACATAACGTTATGTCATGATGCCATATAATTCATTATTGATGCTTAATTAACTTGAATGGTGATTTGCAGCCGGTAAAGTTTAACATCTTGACTTGCCTTACCCGTTTTATCTTCATTTGAAGTTAAAGACCGCGAGCTTGTTTGAGAAAAAAAGGTGCTCATTTTTGCACATTTAGCTGCATCCAGGGCCAGATTAAGACTTCGTTGTACCCTGGGCAACAATATTCAAGGGCCCCATCATCACGACCCAAGGATCACCATAATATGGTCACATACAGAATATTTTACTGTAATATGCAGTAAATATACTCAATACTTGAATGCCTGACATCACGTAACCCGCTCAGGGTAACCTTTGACCCACCTTGTGTGGACTGACCAATGAGGAGAGGGTCTTAACTTGAGGCCCTCTCTTCATTGGTCAGTCTGCATGAGACTGACTCTCAACTGACGTTCAGTCGTAGGCAGCGAAGCGTCTCTGTGCAGCGCAAAAGCCCGGGTGGACAGTTTGTTTAATGTAGGGTGACCATATTTCCATTTCCAAACAAGAGGACAGGGGATCTGTGCCTATGACGTCACACTATGGCAACACCACACAAACCACGCTGGGACCCATTTTTTTGTAAGAACTAAATTAATATCAGATTCTGCCAATAAAAGGGCTCTAAAACAATTCATATGTAAATATTTAGCATATGTATTGCAAAATCTAATTTTTCTGCTTTAGTGCTGCAACAAGGTTTTATTAATAATAAATTATTATACCTTTTGTTTTACTTCAGCATTGGTAAGCTTCCTGTGCACAGATTATTAAGGGTGCTTGTTTCAGCTGTGAGATTAGACGATAGGATCAATGAAAAAATAAGTTGTCCCACACTCCATGGAAACTTTCAGAGAATCCACAAATAGTGGCTTTCAAATGGTTTTGTTTCTTTTTGCAAGTTTAGAAAAGCAGCAGATGAGACAGCATGTGTGATCATTTAGTTTTTCATCTGATAATATTAGAACATGTCAGTAATGTCTGAGGAGCTTTTATAAACACTGTATAACTAACACTACTGGAGAGGGCATGAATTACACAGAGGCTTCTGGGGAGCCCAGTTATGGGGTGGGTGGGTGGGGGGGGGGGGGGGTCATTTTGCCTTGGCCCCCAAATTGTCTTGAAACGGCCCTGGGTGTGTGACTGAGTTTTGAAGGTGATTTGAATTGTATCAGATGTATAAATATTACATGTGTATAACTTATTGTTTTATACAGGTAAAAACTTGTAGTGGAGATAAATCTACCTACATTTGACTTTTCCACACTTAGTTTTGTTTTCTTGTTTTTATTTAACTATTTTCCTGTCCTGTCTGTCTCTCATCTTCCTGCGTCTCCTCTAAACTCTCCAGAAAAAACTGCTGCCAGGATTCTTACTTTTTCACCTCATCAGTTACTTTTGAGCAGATCAAATGGATCTCCTGACCGCAAAGCGGAGTGCGCCTTTCGATGCTGCGTCAGTGAGGTGAAATCACCGCAGCACCGCGCAGCACAGGTGATGAGCTCCGCAGCAGCAGAGCGCTTCAGGCACAAATAAGACAGAAAATAGAGAATATGTGCGGACATGAACGATCGTGTGCTAATTATAGTTTTTTGGTTGCGCCACTTTGAGAATGGACCGTGCGCTGGACGCAGCTGCCTGGATCGCTGCGCAATAACGCGCTGTGCCGCTCTTTGTGCTCTCTGCTCAGAAGAGTCCATAAATGATGTAATATAGATAGAAAACTTGTTTCCGGCTCCCCTGGATGTGTAAGATATACAGCTCCCCCATAATTCGATCGCTGCTCCTGGATGAAAAGCCGGACATTTTCATCAATACGACCGCGGACCCCCAGTCCGGACGCCCGGACAGAGAGTGAAAAGTGGACATGTCCGGGGAAAACCGGACATACGGTCACCCTAGTTTAATATAATGCGGGAGATTACAGACATGCCTACAGTATTTTGCTCGTGCGCTTGCTGCCCTGGGCCCCTTAGAGTTCGTGGGCCCTGGTCAATTGCCCAGTTGCCCATATGGTTAATCCGGCCTTGGCTGCATCTGTTTCCAACGCTTTCCTCTTTTTAATTCTTGCCTTCTCCGCGCCACCCTTGCTCTTTCTACTTTCCATCTTTCCGTCAACTGCGTGGTCACGTGGTGCGCACAGGCGCATACGGGGAAAAAAAAACCAGCTGCAGCCTGCAGGTAGAGCCAGCCAGAGACAGTCGGGAGGAGCGTATGTGATCAGCCCGGCGGCCTCAGTGCCATGACTGAACACCTGCACCAAAAAATAAAAATAAAATGATAAAAAACAAAAACGAGAGCACCGGCCCCATGCGGCCCAAACATCGCGCGGCCCACCGGGAATTCTCCAGACCCTCCCGATTAGCCACTCCGGGCCTGCAGTCAAGCGCTTCCGTCCCTCCCTCTCCTGCTCTCCTGGAAACCCGACATCGGCTGTCAGAAGCGGGAGGTGAAGAAGGAGATGAGGCAAACAGAGTGAGTGTGACAGAGAGAAACCAGACTGGTGTGGAGGTGAGCAAAACAGCTGGAAAAGTGTGGGTGTTGAATCCCCCACGGGTGAGACGCCCATGCGAGCGACCGGTACCTGCTGCTGTCACCTGGTTGTGAGCAGCGCTCTGCTGTTTGAGGGTGGGCCCCGCCCTGGGCCCCGCCCACAACGCTGCGGCCACTGTGGCTCCCAGTGTTTTCATTACTGTGGGAAACGGGTAATAATGGCTCTTTGATGGGAACAGGTTGCCGACCCCTGGTATAAGATCTGAGCTGGTAAAACAAAAATCCTCATCAGCAGGATTTTTTTAAAGTGGGGGGGACACAGCTGCCAAGCACAAATTTTGCCGGGGACATATCCCCGCTGTCCCCGGTTAAAATGACGCCTATGGAGTCCAGAGTTGAAATACAAGGTGAAGCATTTGTTTGGTTAAGACCTACATGAGATTTACATTATTTTTTTAGATGTATTCTTCTTTCTCCCGTTTTTTCCTTTTCGGTATGTTTTCTAACTCCAGCTGGTCTGCTACTGCTCCACATCCCCAGCTGTTCTCCCGAGCAGATCCTAAGTGTTAGTGTGGCTCGTGTGTGTGCGTGTGTGTGTGTGTGACAGAAACAAAAGAACCGAGTTATGAGATAAACCAGGAGGATATCAGTAATAAAGCAGCACGATGGTGAGGAACGCCAGGCATGAGCCGAGCCGTCCCCTGTCATTCCAGATGCAGAGGAAACACATACTGACAGATTTCTGAAATACCTGCCATCTTCACGCATTGTCTCATGCACGCTGTCACTTCTCAGCTCCTTCTGAGGAGGAGATCCAGAGAAGAGCGGCTGATCTGAGCCACTGTGTGATAAAAGAGAGTGGTGAGGAGTCTGTTGAAAGTTTCGCCCAGCCCTACTTTAGGAGAAACAGAATGAGGCTCTTTATTCCACTCGTCTATCGCCTTCAGACCTCCACGCTACCGGGCATGGAGGAACGAGACAAATAAATAAACCTCAAAACTGCATCTCCTACAAATTTCTCTGCAGTTACGCCAGCTTTTGAACTCCAGCCAAGGGACAATTAACTTTTTCCCCCTCCTTTTTCCCCTGCTGTGTCCTCTGACACAGCAAGCTGTGGGCAGACATTCTCTGGGGCTCTGAAAGACCGATTTGTCACTTTCGACAGCGGCGCACTGTACCACTGAGCCAATTAAGCTCAAGGTGCAATTCGATACAGCTTTTGTATACACTGTGGATAAGAGCATAAAGGCGAGAGACAGGGGAGGGGGCATGCACGTCTGCATTTGTGTGTGAATGATTGAGAGCGTGGTAGTGAATGGTTTGTGAAAAAGACAAAGTGGGGGAACACTGTTGCTGCTGGGCTTCGCTGCAATAATAATGTGAGTGGAAATAAAGCTTCAGTTAGAAAAAAAAAAGGCAAGAGAGTCTTTCTTTCTAGTTTAAACAGTTTGACATGAGCTGTACCACAGAGGGGCCTTGTTCTGCAGGATTTCCAAACAACCCAACTGGGTCTGGACACTATGCAAACTTAGACCCTCCAGTCTCCTGCGCCAGGCTGCGTGAGACTAATAATATCCTGGTATAATTAGTGGTGAACACCTGTGCCTGTGTTTGCAAAGTAAAGTACAGACAAGATGAAAATGCAGACAGCAGTTATCTGATTTCGTCTTCTTCCTTCTTTTTATGAGACGAGCGTCGACAGAGACAGTTATTTTAAAGAGATGGATAACTGCTAGGTATAAAGCTAAAGTCAGGACTGGGACAAATATGGAGCATTTGGCTCCGAGCCGAAAACAGCCCTCCTCCTGTGCATCCATTCCAACCTTCCATTTTAAGACTAAAGGACACCACCTTGCTAAGGCAACCCTAGTTTTATCTCAGCCTTAAGAGCTCAGGTTGCAAAAAGGTCATCGTCCAACCAGACTCCTCTCTCAAAAAAGAAAAAAGGACTCGCGTGTAACTTTAAACTTCAACTTTACTCATATTTTTAATACATTTGCAGTGGTCTCTGGTAGGAATGAACGCCTTGTGAGTCGTACTCTGTCTGCTCTGCAACGTTGGTGTTTTATCTTCACAAATAACACAAGCCTGGAGGAGTTCCGCTGCGGTGGAGCTGCTAATGCTAACATTAGCACCAACATCAGCCTTCCCCGCCGAGTCAAGATAGGTGAGTGACGTGAGTCCAGGAATGTTAAGTAACAGTGTGATGTAGATCTGTCAGACTTTTCTAGTTTTAGAGTTTCACCGTTTATTTTCTATCAGAAAGGACCCAGCAGGAGATAGGTGTAGGAGACTATTTTCATGTCCAGCCTGCATGAAAAACTCAGACTGACCTATTATGATCAGAACTAATATTTAAAAATGATTTTTCAGTTAAGCTGACCCTCCTAGCTTAACTTGTAAATGAACTTTTTCCAGGAACCAGAGTCTTGGGCCATTCCTGTCCGTTTCCACAGAAGGAAGCAGAATAGCAGGGCAGATTTTTACCCCAGAAAACAGTCCTGGGAGGGAAGCACCTCCTCCAGGGTGGTACATGAGCACTCGTCACTTTCCTTACATTTTTTAAATGACTTTTTTTCCTCATTTTAACCAAATTTTTGATTTATTTTTTAAAATATTTTGTATATTTAGAATTTTTTGATCTTGTGAAGCATCTTGTGATTTTTAACTTGAGAGGTGCTTCATAAAAGTTCCTTTTCTTTCTTGTCACGTCGGTGTAGTACCGTATTTTCCGGACTATAAGCCGCTACTTTTTTCCCACGCTTTGAACCATGCGGCTTATAATGAGGTGCGGCTTTACTTTATTTCCCTTTTAAGGTTATTCCATAATTTAACACCATTTACAGATATTTTCCACTCCTTAACTTTAGTTCTAAATCTAGGTTTTGTAAACATCAGTTTCTTTCAGCATGTAATTACTAGTTCTCTTTTCAAATATCCCCTGAATGTTTGTTGGCAGAGTACCCAAATTGGCCCTAATACATGGTTTGTAAGATTTTCCAGTCTTTTAAATCATGAAATTTCAGTAATTTATATTTAATAAACAATGGGCTCGATGGATCTCTACAGCCACTATAAATGATGATTCTCAGAGCTCTTTTCTGTAAAATAAATAAGGGTTGTGTATAGTTTTTGTATGTTGCTCCTCAGATTTCTACACAATAAGTCAAGTATGGAACAATCAGTGAATTGTACAACGCCAACAAACCAGAATTAGTCAGTAAAAACTTGACTCTGTGTAATACTCCTAAGGATTTGGCAATTTTACCTTTTATGTAACTAATACGGGATTTCCATGTCAAGTCTTCATCAATAAGAACTCCAAGAAATTTAGTTTCTTTCACTCTTTGAATTTCAATCTCATCTATTTCCAATGCCACATCACTGCTCTTTTTTATCATTAAACAGTATAAAATTTGTTTTATGAAGATTCAGTGTCAATCTATTTATATCAAACCAGTTTTTAATTTTAATCAGTTCATCATTTATCACTTTAGCCACCTCCTCAATATTTGCTCCTGAGTAAAACAGTGATGTATCATCTGCAAATAGAATGGTATCGAGTGTCTTAGATACATTTACCAAGTCGTTAATAAACAAAATGAACTGTTTTGGTCCGAGGACCGACCCTTGTGGCACTCCACAATTAATTTCACATAATTTTGATTTATGGTCCTTTATCTGAACAAACTGTTTCCTTTTTTTTAAATAAGTTTTAGCCCATTGATGAGCCACACCTCTTATTCCATACTGACTTAATTTTTGAAGTAACCTTGAGTGATCAATGACGTCAAAAGCTTTTTTCAAATCAATGAAACCACTAACAAAGTCATTTTTATTGTCAATTGCTGTTGATATTTTTTCCGTTAATTCCATTATTGCCATTGCTGTGGAATGTTTAGTTCTAAACCCATATCGCTTAAAATATTATTAGTAGTATTTTCCTTCACCTGCAGGGGGCGCTTTAGCAGAAAGTGAAACAGGTGGAAGTCAAAAGTGGAAATCGAAGAAAGTGCTCATTTTAATTTAGCACATGCAAGCAGCCGGCACCACGAAGGTTTTTTTTTTAAAATTCATACCCCCTCATCATGGTAACTACACGTATTAGTTCATATGATGCCACATTTAGATTGAAGGCCATCGATCTGGCAGTAAAGGAGGGAAATGGTGCTGCCGCGCGTCAGCTTGGCATGAATGAATCCATGGTTCGGCGCTGGAGACGGCAGCGGGAAGATCTCATTCAAGCCAGCTTCACCCGGGGATGATGACAGCAACACGGACAGCGACACTGACATCGCCACAGAAACGGTATGTGACGAAGCTCTTCTGAGGCTGTTCAACTCCGACACTGAAGAAGAGGACTTTAATGGCTTTAGAGCGCAAGAGGAAGATGAGAGCGAATGACTTCTTCTGGTAGGCAAGTGTGTTTTATTTACTAACCAGGCATGTTTTGTGTGCAGTTTTTATTTCTAATCATCCAGGGCTTATTAATGCTGAGTCAGCGCTGTTCTTTTCTTCTAAACATGCAGATTACCGGTAATAACGTGTCAGTGCCATTTTTATTTTATAACCATCCAGAAATATGAATGCTATCAGCGCTAACCCGTATTTAAAATTCGTTTTGTTGAATTAAAACAACAACAAAAAACCTCCGTGTAGCGTCTCTCTGTCCAATTATCTGATGCTATGGCCATACATGGGCTGTGCGCCGGAGACCTGCATGTGGCTGCTGCACCGCGGCTTGTGTATGAGTGCGGCGTGTGTGTAGAAAACCTTTTTTTTTGTTGGTGCGGTTTATATTTAGGTGCGCTCTATAGTCCGGAAATTACGGTATCTCCAGCATGGAGGAAAGTGTGAAATACAGGGAGGTACATGTGTAGAATCAGAACACCTGGACCACCTCAGTAAATAGTAATTTATGCATAAATATATTTTTTTTTATTGCTTTTATCCAAAGTGACTTACAGTTCACCTAAAGCATCTGCAACTGTCTTGCTGCAAAGCAGCAGTCCTACCAATTGCTCTACCATACAGGCAAAATATATACAGGTGCTGGCCAGTAAATTAGAATATCATCAAAAGGTTGAAAATATTTCAGTAATTCCATTCAAAACGTGAAACTTGTACATTATATTCATGCAATGCACACAGACCAATGTATTTCCAATGTTCATTACATTTAAATTTGATATTTATAGGTGACAACCAATGAAAACATCAAATCTGGTATCTCAGAAAATTAGAATATTCTAAAGGCCAATGAAAAAATGTTTGTTTCTCTAATGTTGGCCAACTGAAAAGAATGAACATGAAAAGAATGTGCATGTATAGCACTCAATACTTAGTCGGGGCTCCTTTTGCCTCAATAACTGCAGTAATGCGGCGTGGCATGGACTCGATCAGTCTGTGGCACTGCTCAGGTGTTATGAGAGCCCAGGTTGCTCTGATAGTCGTCTTCAGCTCCTCTGCATTGTTGGGTCTAGCGTATTGCATCCTCCGCTTCACAATACCCCATAGATTTTCTATGGGGTTAAGGTCAGGCGAGTTTGCTGGCCAATCAAGGACAGGGATACCATGGTCCTTGAACCAGGTGCTGGTGGTTTTGGCACTGTGTGCAGGTGCCAAGTCCTGTTGAAAGGTGAAGTCTGCATCCCCATGAAGTTGGTCAGCAGCAGGAAGCATGAAGTGCTCTAAAACTTCCTGGTAGACGGCTGCATTGACCCTGGACCTCAGGAAACAGAGTGGGCCAACACCGGCAGATGACATGGCACCCCACACCATCACTGACGGTGGAAACTTTACACTGGACCTCATGCAACGTGGATTCTGTGCTTCTCCGCTCTTCCTCCAGACTCTGGGTCCTTGATTTCCAAAGGAAATGCAGAACTTGCTTTCATCAGAAAACATAACTTTGGACCACTCAGCATCAGTCCAGTCCTTTTTTGTCCTTGGCCCAGGCGAGACGCTTCTTGCGCTGTTTCTTGTTCAAGAGTGGCTTGACACACGGAATGCGACACCTGAATCCCATGTCTTTCATGAGTCTCCTCGTGGTGGTTCTTGAATCGCTGACTCCAGCTGCAGTCCACTCTTTGTGGATCTTCCCCACATTTTTGAATGGGTTTGTCGTCACAATTCTCTGCAGGGTGCGGTTATCCCTAGAGCTTGTACACTTTTTTCTACCACATTTTTTCCGTCCCTTCGCCTGTCTGTTAATGTGCTTGGACACAGAGCTCTGCGAACAGCCAGCTTCTTTAGCAATCACCTTTTGTGTCTTGCCCTCCTTGTGCAAGGTGTCAATGATTGTCTTTTGGACAGCTGTTAAGTCAGAAGTCTTCCCCATGATTGTGGTGCCTTCAAAACAAGACTGAGGGACCTTTTAAAGGCCTTTGCAGGTGTTTTGAGTAAATCAGCTGATTAGAGTGGCAGCAGGTGTCTTCTATATTCAGCCTTTTCAGAATATTCTAATTTTTTGAGATACCAAATTTGGAGTTTTCATTAGTTGTCACTTATGAATATCAAATTTAAATGTAATGAACATTGGAAATACATTGGTCTGTGTGCATTGCATGAATATAATGTACAAGTTTCACGTTTTGAATGGAATTACTGAAATATTTTCAACCTTTTGATGATATTCTAATTTACTGGCCAGCACCTGTATTAGCAAATTGCTTTTAATTGAAATAAAAAAGTCAAATTTTTGTACCTTGCAAGGACTTTTTGCTTCATTACTTTATCCCTCATCTTAACAGGTTTGAACACCCCTGGTCTGAATAGGTATGGGTCGTTGAGTGGAAATGATCCTGAAGGCACTTTGAGCTACAGAATTCAACCCCGGAGGGTACATGTGTCCAGTCTGCACCCTAGGGGGCAAGAATTTCCTTCTATACTCTTATTTTCCATGAAAGGCCCAGCACTGAATAAGGAAGGCCAGGTATCCCAATGCAAGTCAACATCCATGCGTTGAAAATCAACTTTGGTGCTTTCTTTGGTGACCATTCCTCTGCAGAACAGACCAGCACATCCACACACTGAGTTTTTAAGGGAGAGGAGCGGATGTTTGGATCACCCTGACAGGTCAAACAGAGGCTGGAGAGCAAGTCTCACGAGTACATGTGTGGTGATTCTGTCTGTCTGAGAGAGCGAAGGAGGACAGAGGAGGGAGGGAAGGGGTCTGGACGTTTGTTTTCAGTGTCGCCGGTTGCTCGAGGCTTGCTGTTTACAGTCTGCAGTCATCCCAAAAACCAATATCTCAGAGGAGAGGAGCCATGTGACAGAACTGGTAGGAAAACATGTTTCTTAAACATCAATTTTCAGAGCAGAGGCACGTCAGTAGCCAGTAGACACATTGCTACAAGCCCTCTGGAGAGCTTCACGGTGCAGTGCAGTTTATTCAGCACATGTGTGCACTGTACAAAGTCCTTTTCTTTTTTGGTCAGATACGTATGTGGAATGTGCAATCTCCAAACACAGGTGCTTCTCATGAAACGGGAAGGAGATGGTTTAGATTGCTGCTACATTGGCAGACGATGTGAGCACATAACACACCTAAGCTGGTCAAATTTGATTTAAGCTCTCAAGATTCAACAGCTTATATTATGGTTTCTGGGGGAGAGCAAATATTTTATCACTTTGTCTCATCTCTGCGGGGCAAATGTTCAGATGGATTTTTAAACTCAGCACATTTAAAAAAAGCGGGAGTTTGCCAGGAGCCACCCTCACACAGCTGCAAGGAGGAACATGACAGGAGCTGCAGAATTCTCCGGGCTTAACGGATATAATGAGTGAATTGTCCCAAGATACTAGTGAGTAAGTCACAGAGGGGGGAGGGATGGGACAGTATGCCTTCACACCCACAGGCCGACCAGAGAATGTTGAGCCAAGACAAACGGGACTCCCGCAGGAGGTCCTGCCCCTGGCCTTTGCAACAGCACTGCTCCTCCATAACACTCACTGTTATTCTAATCCGAGGGACCCTCCCATCTGAGGGCAGGAAAGTAAGACTGGAGACGTCACGCCTGAGCGAGCTGTGGTTATGAAGAGATGATAGAGCTGGGATGTTTTCAAATAGGAGAAAACTGGAGTGAGAACACAAATACAAGCGTACGAAAACAAACTCTAAAACTGTCTTTAACGTGTGAGTTACGGCACGAGTGACAAAACCCACCAGAAACAGTCTACATAGAAGCTTCTGGAACAAACATAAGTAGAAACTAAACAATCCTTTCATAAAATGTTCTCTGCCTGACAGTCAAAGGCTGGCTATAACGTTTTTGCCTGTCTCTGTGTGCAAGCATAAATCGCTGGACACTTTTCACGCGCTGATAATTACCATTCATGGACACACCCATCTTGACTTGCAACGCTGTAGGCTGCTGTTGATTTAGCAGCCAGGAGAGAGTAGAGCACGTCTCGGCTAGTAGAAGCTAACTGTTAGCATTGGCAGTTCCACAAAATGACAGAACTCCTCCAGGCGTGTGTTATTTGTAGAAATAAAACGTCAAACGGAGTCTGTGGTAGAGCTTGTTGCTGTTAGCCAATCAGAGGCGAGATGTCCAAATATCGGGAAATGAGACTCCAAATCCTGCCGTGCTGTGCTCCCCACTCCCATCACTAACCCCCCTCCCCCCAGGGCTCGACTCACAAGGCAACACTCCGAATGTGAATAAAAACTGTTTATTGTCACCGTGTGGTGCCATAAATCGTTTGCTTTAACAAGCCGCTGGAAAATGTCCTTTTGTGTGATGTCACGATATGGAAAATTAGCATAGAACCTCCCCTCACCTGTCAATGCTTAAAAAGGCAAGCCCCTCCCCCCCAGACATCCTAGCTCCTCACCTCACTGAGTACGTTTACATGCAGCCAATATCCGGGTTATGATCGGGTTAAGGTCGGGATTCGGGTTTCTGAGTTGATCAGAATAACCCGTTTACAAGCATAAATAGAAAGAGTTACCTCTGACTTGCATAACCCGATGTAAATGCGGACGTTGGGGTAGCGTCAGGACGTGCGGACTACGTCCAGACGTAATATGCCTCATTTCCGGTTCTTCTCGTTCCGGTATCCGTGAAAACAACAACATGTTTCCCAGTTGGGAAGAGATAGCGACCGCGTTTGTTTGCGCTTTAGTTTCCTCGTCACTCCAAAAGTGTGGTGCTGTGCCGCGACTCGCCATGTTGCTCCCAACTTGTTGTTTACTTCCGGTGTTCTGGCGCGTACAAGACGTCTCGCTACTCAAAAGACCAAGATTCCTTGCGAACAGAGCATGTGCAGAACACACGCTTTGATGGGGATATCCCGATATGCGTTTACACGACCAAACATTCGGGTTAGAAAAGGGTTACCCCAGGTGTAGTAACCGGGTTTTTAAAAACCCAGTTATGAGCATATCCGGGTTTTTGGCGGTGTTTACATGGACCTGCGGAACCGGGTTATTGTGAATATTCGGCTTTTAAAAGGGTTACTGGCTGCATGTAAACGCACTGACTGCGGCCAGTCGGGGTTGAGTGGGTGGGGCCAGCAGCAACTCATTTGCATTAAAGTGGCAGAGCTCTGAAACGGCTCATTCTGGAAGGTACCGACAACATCAATAAGAGCTGCCGAATCACTTTATGTGAGAGGGATTTAGTGCAGGAAACCTCATGAACACGTTTTATCTGGATTATAGAATACCTTGTTTGTCTAAAGAGGTGAAATACATTCCCTTTTTAAAGGTGGTCACTTTATTCAACTGGCCTTACAAAACACAAACACATCTGTAACTCAGTCATGAGATAAACACCAGGTCCACGTCTACAACTCACTGACTGTTAAGAGTGAATCCAAAACAAGACGGCCATCTAAGCCAATCGAGTTTATAGATATTATAGATATGTTAGCTGCAGCAGTAGTTGTCACCCCTCCATAAAACATACTCCAAGTGAGACACTATTTATTTTCAAGACTGAACCATAACTCCATGAAAATCTCATTTTAAAAGCCTAGCTTTAAAGAGCAGCGGGTGATTTTCATTTCTTCAAGGAACGCGAGGCCTTTACTTCATTTGTGCAGTTGTTGAAGGGCGGTGGTGTCTCTGAGGGGATGAGCAGCGGCGGTGCACTCAATGACCTCTGCCTGCACTGTCCAAATTACATTTATTTCCATTTATTTTTAGTCTCCACTTCCAGTCAAGAACGAACACGACCATAAATGAGAAAAAGTCTGAAACAACGTGAAAATCTGAGCACATACATTTTGAGTGCAGATTCCTGACAGAAGCAGAGCTGCTACGGTGGAAAAAGTGTGCGTGGGTGAGAGAAGTAAAAAGCATAACAAATCATCCGTACAAAGAGTTGATTCTGTGCTGCGGGGGAAAGGAACTCGCTCAGGGTGGGGAGCTCTGCGGTGCACAGAGAAGGTCTGTGAGTCAGCTCAGAGGTCAGGGCTCGATCCAAGGTCAGAGGTCAGCAGGGCGCGCCGTTTAGGTGTCGGAATACGATGGACAATGACGGTTCTTATCAGCACTAGAGACATTCTCTGGATACTATCTTTATCTTCTACAGAGGAGAGGCCTGACACACGTGTTTCCATTCTCCTCCTGGCTGCTGCAGTCGGTCCGGTCAAGGCGACGTGGCTGGCGGATCGAGGGACGTTGGCTGTATGAGCGTCCCTGCCAACAATCACGCAAAATCCTCCTAACATTCCTGCAAACAGCAGACTCAGAGCGAAGGCATGTGTGACAATTTGCTGGGTCTGAGTGCTCACACAGAGACGTCCTGGTGTGCGGTTTCACTATCTGTCTGAGCCCTTTGTAGTGGTTAGCTTGTGGTTTCCTCCAGCAGCTCGGAGCCTACCGACAACAGCTCCGGCAACGTTCCCGGCATCCTCCAGTTACCCTCAAGAATGGGCTGGAAAACCTGAGAGGCAGCACGCCAGATGCAGGGAAGAAAAAACAACTGAACAGAGGGATAATTTAAGATGCAGGTGAGGGTTAACACGTGAAATGCATACCACCCAAACGTTTGACATTCCCAGAAAATGGCTTCTGTGTGTTGCTGTGGCGGCAAGCAGCGGAGCAGCGGGCCTTGAGAATGGTCCCGCTGTGTGCTGAGTGTTTGTGGACTGTGGCGGAGCTGATGGACACGACCCAGGAATGGGCCTGGAATCAATTTACTGCGTCCAAAAAGCGCCTGAGAATGCAAATAAAGCTCTTGAGCAAACAAACGTTCTTCCAAGAGGCGCACTCACAAACACAGAGAAAATGTTCGGGTTTCTCAGAACCACTAAAACGCTGCCGGGCCTCTCGGATCCACCATGAGAACCCGGGCAGGCTCTGTCTCGCTGGTGTCCACACAAATTAAAACCAGGGCCCTTCTTCCTGCCTCCGGGCTAATCTGAAGGGTTTTATCCCTGGATTGATTTCGGAACGCTCCAAAGTGGGAAACCATTAAGGGTCCAATAAGAAGATAATTTCAGTCTCTTCTTTCTCTCATTTCCCATCACACACACACACACACACACACACACACACACACACACACACACACACACACACACACACACACACACACACACACACACACACACGCACACGCGCACGCCTGTTTACACAGATGGTGGTGAGCAGGACTGGCTGGAGCTTGTTTATAGGCTCCATGAAGGATGAATGTGGAGAACTTCGGGTCAGAACATTTCCAGAGTGTCACTTATCATCACAAACATCACCAAAACTCTACAAACTTTATAATTCAACCCATTTCTCACTAGAAACAGTAACGACGGATTATTAAACGTTCCTAGAACACAAACAGATCTGAGTCGGCTAAAGGATGATCAGCCTGACGGCCAAGAATGAAAGCAGCAATCATTTTGTCCAAGTCGCCTTTTGGAAGATTTCCTGAACACCATCTGCTCTTTTATCTGCAGCTCTTCTGTTTCCCGGACAAAAATACATATTTCTGCTGATTAGCATGAAACTTTTTTCCAACTTTAACCATTTCCAGTTGGCGACTTTAGACCTTGATGTTCTTATTTTTACTTCATTCATGTGACTCGTCTCTAAAACCTCCACCAGCCAGATAAGTTAGTTATGTTTGGGTCAAAAATAGAATAATCAGAGTCAGCCGCTGCTTCTGAATCCACAAAACGGCCGAATTACATGTTTGCAGGGAATCATTTGCAGTTAAACAATTTTTACAAAGGGTATGAATTCCCCCTGAGCTCATGTAGGAATGTGTGTTTTAGACATTTTTAAATTAGCTAACCATCAGGGCCAAATGTGATTCATATAACACTGATTTTAAAATACTTTCAATGGTTTTTAAGTGTCTTAACGGTCTTGGGCCTTCTTATCTTCCAGAACTGCTTTTACCGTACGAACCCACGCTAACGATAAACGGAGAAGGAAGTGACGCGCCGCCATCAGCGTCAGCCTGAAGAAGCCGGCAGCCGTCGGCGAAACTGTAGCGTCAATAACAGGTAAACAAAACCGTTTCTGTGTTTTAAAAAAGAACGACAACATGGAATTAGAAATAACGCACAGCAAGAACACACCTAAGACGAACCCACGCGGTCTCTGCGCTCCTCTGGCAGCCGTCTCCTTGTCGTCCCTAAAGTCAGGCCACATATTCACGGCGAGGCGTCCTTCCAGTACTACGGTCCTCGTCTCTGGAACGAGCTGCCAGGGGACCTCAGGAGCGTGTGTGTGTGTGTGTGTGTGCTGGAGGATGTGTTGTGAAGGGGTTTTTATAATTCTGGGTATGGGAGGGAATGTGGGTATGTGGGGCCTTTTTAATTTGTTGAGCACTTTGAGTTGCATGTATTGTAGGATTAAGTGCTGTATAAATAAATGAAGTTTGAGTTGGATTTCACAATACAGCACGTCCCTTAGTTAAAGCTCTCACTCACTCCTGTCACCATAAATCTGCAGTGGTCTCTGGTAGGAATGTGAGTCGATTTCTGTGTTTCAGGAAGTAGAAGTTAGTCGGAGGAGAGGAGGACAACAGGATTTAGAGTCTTTCTCATTAGTATTCATGATATTCAGACATCTAACCTCTGATTGGTTAACTCAGTCACTGCCAGTGACGACTAAAGTCGTCATTTGCATTTTTTTACTGTTTGAGCATCGGAACGAGCCCCCGCGCTGAGAGAACAAACATCTCAGCCCTGAAGCCGATCTTCATCCGCATACGTCACAGATCACATGATCAGGAAGCAACACATCCATGTGTTTGGAGATCGTTTTGGGCCGTTCCTGTAAAAAAAGTGAGGCGCGAACCGGAAAAGTGTCTGCCGATCACAATTCAACAACGGATTATGAAAGAACGGATAACGCTCGAAACACACGGCTTCTTCCTGATGTAAGAGGTGAGTCTCTTCTTTGTTTTGTTTGTTTTGGCATCGACATCATGCTAGCGCGCAACGTTCTGTGACTCTTAAAAAAACAGTAAAAACGGTGAGAAACGCTGGCAGCGAATAAGTTAACAGCAGCGCAGCTCTTTCACTGCCTCAGTTTGCTCTGCAACGCTGATGTTTTATCTCCACAAATAACACATGCTTGGAGGAGTTCTGCTGTGTGGTGGAGTTGCTAATGCTAGCGATTAGCTTCTACGTGCTCTGCTCTCTCCTGGATGCAAAAACCAACAACGGCCTTCCCTGTCACGAGCCAAGATGGGTGAGTCCATGAATGTTTCCTTTCACTGTGACCAAGAACTTTGTGGCTGTTTCTAGTCCGAGCATTCCCCGTCAAAATTAATTCAACAACTAATTCAGGAAATAGGTGTAGAAGACTATTTTTGAGTTCTGCATGCATGTGAAACTCAGCGCGACCGATCGTTTTTGAAAAAGAACAAGTATTAAATGTTTCTCAGTGGACCTGCCTTTAACATTTAGACGGTTGATTAATTGTGCGCTCTTTTAAAAGTCGTAGCTTTTAAAATAACGTACTTTAGACTGTTTCCACAATTTTACACATCTATCAGTGTGTTCTGACACAGATATGTAGCACAGGTTTGAGTTCAGATTAGCATTAATCCAGCACATACGCTACAGTGTGTGCTGCGGCTCTGGCGGCTGCTGGATTAATGGAACATCTTGATCTCCTGCACCTTCTGAATTCAGAGTTTTATTCATTTCCACCAGAAAACAGATTTGGGATGACAACTTGTAACTGAACAGTGTTGGGAGTAATGTGGTACAAAAGTAATTAATTACTGTAATGCATTGCTTTTTGCTGTAATGTGGTAATGTAAGGCATTACAGGGAAAGAAAATGGTAATATTTACTCGGTACAATTGTCAGTAACGCGGTAATTACAACGCATTTTTAAACCCAGAATCAAGATGGGTTCCTTAAAAATCCAAATTGCGGGAAACCCGAAGAAAGATCCAGTATCTGCATATATTACTTCATTTATGGACTCAGCTTTGCGGGCAGAGAGGACGCCGCGGTAACGGCTCAGCTGCGTCCTGCACGCGGCCGCTGTAACATTCACAAAATCGCTCCACTAAAACAAAATAATTCACTTGCGATTGTTCATATCGGCGCATGCTCTCTGGTATTTTGTGCTTTCCTGACGTGCTTTGCCTCAGCTGAGTTAATAATCTGTACCCCGGTGATTTCAACTCATTACTGCTGGAGCGCCGCGCATGTGAAGATCCCTTTGGCTGATCGTTAGAAAGTAGGAAATCTAGGAAACAGTTTTTTCTGGAAGACGGAGAAAACATGCAGCATGCAGGAAGGTTAGAGAGAGAAAGGGCCGGAAATTATTCACATAAAACCAAGAAAAAAAAAGAAAAAAGTAGGTAGATTTATCCCCAATACACATTTTTACCAGTGAAAAGCAATAATATATAAGCATTTAATATTTATACATGTGATAGAATCAGATCACCCCAGAAGTCAGTCCCACATCCAGGGCCGTATCAAGGCATTTGGGGACCAAGGCAAATATAGGCTTGGAGCCCCCACCACCTCACTCCCTGCTCAGTTAATCTAAGATGGCAGATTGTTGTTGCTTTTATTTAATAAACAATCATTTTAAAGCACTGTTATTATATCTGACTGTTTTTAACAGCAACCCTAGCTCAGACACCACATCACCTTCCACATATATGTCATGAGCTCACTGAGCGTCACATGACCAGATTCATATTGAAGTTGTTTTGGTGAAAGTAACTTAAAGTAATTCAAAAGTAGTGTAATCCTTACATTTTAAAATCAGTAATATTGTAATGTAATGAATTACTTTAAAATGAGGGTAACAAGTAATAAATAATGCATTACAGTTTTGAAGTAACTTGCCCAACACTGTAACTGAAGCTGTTACAGGAGATCGTTATATCTTTCTATTGAGATACTAAATAAGAGTAAGAGGTCTGTTATTTTTCTGCAGGATTTCAGCATGTCAGCTTGTCACATGACTGTGATGGACAACGCTCCAGATCTTATCTGACGCCCACCTTGAGGACACTCAGGGCCACCCTGCCTTCTGAGCTCTACCTGTTAGTCACATGTCGGGCCGTCTCTCCTGCAGCCGCTCCGTGAAGCTGAAACATTGTGGATCCCTCAAGTGCCGCTGACATCAACAGTGTCTGGATTATAACTGCTTTGATGGAGGAGGCATGTGGCGAACACTACCATGTGGGCCTGGCGCCGAGTGACTCACCTATCAGGTGCAGGGGGTCAGAGGTGACAGCTGCACTTAATTAACATACCAGGTTCTCATACTGGAAGCGTGTTCGGCTGTTAACTGGACCCACATACGGGGTAAAGAATGTTTAGGTTTCCCAGTGTATCAACCTTTGGAGTTATCAAGGGTGTTTTTGTCTCCTTCTCATCCATTCCTGCATTCTTTCATCACCTTCCCCTTTTCCTCTGCGTCTTTGTTCCAGCTCAAAAATTTTAGGAGCGGGTCTGAAAGGTGAGCTCAGCTCAGCCGCTCACCGTGAGCTGCATGTTTCACATTACGGGAATATCTCGACCCTGCGTTCCGTTCACCTCTGGAGATGATAAAGCTGCTCAGTGGCTCCTGAAAGCAGCTTTCCTTCAGGGTGCTAACAGTGACCCGAGTGCAGGAGCAGAACAACGGGTCCATTCACTTTGGAGAACTGAGGGATGCTGAATCGAGCTAAAGAGAGAGCTGAGAAGCATCACACTCCAACTCTGATGCAGCATGTCCCAACTAAAGGAGAAATATTACGGTATCACATCCACGTCCAAAGTACCTGAGCTGCTGTTTTCATCTGGGTTGAGATGTTCATGAAAAATGTCTCCTCCCATTAACCAGAGGTGCCTCTAGAAAGTCTCCACAAGGAAATCCAGACAAGGGTCCCTGGTAATCCTGAACTACGGAAGAGGATTAGGGCTACTGAAAGAACACAAAAAGAAAAGAAAAAAATTTCTGACTTTTTTTCACAGAAGTCAAAAAGTCAGAATTCTGAGAAAAGTGTCAGTAATCGGATTTTAAAGTGGGAATTCTGACTTTAAACTCAGTCAGAATTATTTTACTTGTTTGTTTCTTTTAAGCTCAGTTGCACTCAGAACATTATGAGACTATGTGAGTAAAGTCACAATTCTGAGATTAAAGTCAGAATGTTCAGAAAAAAATCAGAAATCTAAGATTAAAGTCAGAAATCTGAGAAAAAAGGCAGAAATCTGAGATTAAAGTATGCGTTACGATATCAAAGTCAGAATCCTGCGAAAGGTCAGAATTATGAGATTAAAGTCGGAATTCTAAAAAAGAGGCAGAAATCTCAGAATTATGAGATTAAAGTCAGAAATCTGAGAAAAAAGGCAGAAATCTGAGATTAAAGTATGCGTTACGATATCAAAGTCAGAATCCTGCGAAAGGTCAGAATTATGAGACTAAAGTCGGAATTCTAAAAAAGAGGCAAAAATCTCAGAATTATGAGATTAAAGTCAGAAATCTGAGATTAAAGTCAGAATTCCGAGATTAAAGTCTAAATTCTTTTTCTTGTTTGTATCTTTTAAGCAGCTCAATTTCAGTCAGAATATTATGAGACTATGAGATTAAAGTCAGAATTCTGAGATTAAAGTCAGAAATCTGAGATTAAGGTCAGAATTGTGAGATTTAAATCTGAATTTTAATGTTCAAGTCAGAAGTCTGATTAAAATAAGAATTTTTGGAAAGAAAAATCAGAAATCTAAGACTAGATCCATAAATCTGAGAAAAAAGCAGAAATCTGACATGAAAATCAGAAAATTTGATATCAAAGTCAGAATTCTAAGAAAAAGGCCAGAAATCAAAGCTTAAAGTCAGAATTCTGATGAAAACAGCATAAATCTGAGATTAAAATCTGAAATCTGACTTTAAAAACAGAATTCTGAGATTAAAGTCAGAATTCTGGAAAAAAGAGGCAGAAATCTGAAGTAAGTAATTCTGAAAAAGTGCATGCTTGTGTGATTAAAGTCATAATTCTTGGATAAAAGTCATAATTCTGATTTAGTATCAGATTTTGGAAAAAAGGCAGAAATCTGAGATTAAAGTAAGAATTATTAAATCAAAGTCAGAATTCTGAGAATAGGCAGGATTATGAGATTAAAGTCGGAAATCTTAGATTAAATTCATAAATCTGAGATTAGTCAAAAATCTGAGATTAAAATCAGAATTTTTAGTTTTATAAAAATTGCAAATCTGAAAAAAGACAGAAATCTGAGATTACATCAGAATTCTGATAAAAGGGCCTAATTGTGTGATTAAAGTCATCATTCTTAGATTAAAGTCATAATCCTGAGATTAAAGTCAGAACTCTTTTTCTTTAGTGGCTTAATTTCAGTCACAATATTATGAGATTATGATCAGAATTATGATAAAAGAAGCAGAAATCAAATTTTAAAGTCGGAATTCTGAGATTAAAGTCAGAAATCTGAGGAACAAAGGCAGAATTCTGAAGTTTAAGTAAGAATTATGAGATTAAAGTCATGATAGTTTGGTGTTGTTGTTTTCAGTGGCCCATGTCCTCTTCCACACACCACCAGCTGAAGCTGTAACTAATAATTTATATGAATCTGTGGAGGGAATAGCCCGTTTGGATTAAACATTAGCTCATCTTTAATCACTCGCTGGTGTGTTTGTGAAGCAGCAGTTTTGGGTCTGAAGTGTCGGTGGGAGGGGAGTGTGAGGGCATAAAGGGAGGCTTTGAGAGGAAATCTGCCAGCAGGATTTTTTTTCTTGTGAGGATGGTGGAACGTTCTTTTGTTCTCCACAGAGGGCGTACAGTTGGAGAGCAGGTGTGCATGAAAGCACAGAAACACAGGTGAGCCCTTATCGTGAGTGAAAGACAAGTCATGTGGAATCCAAGATGAACGGATTTACAGAGAAAAGCTGCGTGTGTTCCTCCACACGCAGCAGGTATCTGGTAAGAGACACAAGTTTAGCATTAGCTTCAATAGCCTCAGGTGGTAGATGTTAGCTAATGAGTCAGCTGGGTGATTATATCAGCCTGCTAGAAATGATGTGGGTATTTAAAGAGCAGCAAGCCGTTTAATCATCTGACCATCGCCAGTTTCTTATCAAGGCTGTTTTTAACTTCGTCACGTGGATGCAGATGTAAATGATCACCGTTTTCATCCTATGTGGACTGTTTAACCCCATTTTGTTATGTAATAAATTGTATGAGTGTGTGACACGTCAGCTGGGCCAGCGGCACCAGCCCGCTGCCTGGCTGCAGAAGGGGTGGGGGGCGGGAATCGTCCTGGAATAGCTCTGCTGGCCTGGAATGCTGAGGGGAATGTTTTACAGTGGGATTTGATTGGTCTGTGTGTGTGTGTGTGTGTGTTGGTGAGTGGTATAAGTTATCAGAAGGTGATGGAATCTGCTTCCAGATCAGCCGAGGGGAGATCCATCCTCTGTGTGGTCAGCAGGTTGACAGCCGGTCTGTGCCGGGGTCTCGGCCATGTGTCTGTTCTGTCTGCACCTTGTTGTTGTGGCTGCCACCGCCCCCCGCCCCCCGCCTGTGTGTGAGTGACGCGTCATCGATCGGCTCCCGGCTTTGTGAAATCAAATCTGGCTCGTCCATCTCAGAGGAGAGGCGCACAGACAGGCAGCCCATTAGGCCCCATGCTCTGCAGGCTGACCTTTGACCCGCAGCCCCCTGTTTGACCAAAAGGAGCTGAACGGCCATGCCAGGTCAGCGTTTTGCTCAGCCATCAGCAGGAACTCCTCAAGGTCTACACACGCAGGCACATGCGGGTAAAAGTGCCTGCAGAGTCATGAGGCCCAAAGCACAAACGGCTAATTCATGATCCTCCGAACAGATCAGATAAAGCTCTAAAGTGGACCTTTCAGCAGCTCGTGAGTCAGAGTGTAACAGCAGTGTGAACCGAGGGCATCAGACTCTCACGGCCCAGCCTGCTGGAAGGATTGGCCCTTCAGGAATCCTGTGTGAACCCCGAGTTCCTCCTCTTCCTCAAACCTCAGCAAACCCAAACCTCTGCCACATCTCCGGCTGAAGGACTACTCCCAATGCCTTGTTTGCTCAGCTGTGCTGGCTTAATCGAACCCATGTTCCTGCTTTGTTTTCTCCTTTTTCCTGCAACAGTCTGAAGCTTTTGTTTTTCTTTTCTATGTTTGGCTTTTGTTGTGCTCCTCTGTCTTTATGGGATTGACGCCTGCAACGTCAAGAGGTCAGGAAGATGGCTACCTGTGGAAGTCTCACATTCCCCCGCAGCAGCGTAGTGTCACAGAGGTGTTAACATGTACAGCAGTCATGTAAACACGTCTTTGCTGAGCCCGCTGCCTGGGTTCGGTCTCTGAATCTCTGCAGGAGACGCTAAATGCATTCACACAGGTATTTGAAATAATCATTCTGGTCATTTGGGAATGTTTTCCTCTGCAGAAGTTGGTGAATCACTTCCTGCTTGGAAAAACAGTTTATGTCTTGCTTAGATTGATGAGCTAACAGCTAGTTCAAGCATGTGTTTCTGCTGACCTTAAAACATCTTATCTAGTCCCAGTTAATCTCATTTCACAGATATTTAACTACTCCGCTATTTAAAATGAATTCTATGGAGAATAAATATCCCCACCAGCAAAATGTAGCACTTCCTGTCCATCCAAGTGGGTCAGAAATTCTATGTACTAACCGCCTAATCTTCACTAGGGTCACAGGCGAGAGGCGGGACAGGATGGGACACCCTGGACACATCTCCAGTCCATCAGGGACACACAGAGATAAATGACCAGTATCTCACTCACACCTAGGCACAATGTAGCGCCTCCAAATAACCTGACTTGTATGCTTTTGGTCTGTGTGGAGGAAACTGGAGAAAACCCACGCATGGATGGGGAGAACCTGGAAATTCCTGGCAGAAAGGTTGCAGCTGGGATTCAAACATACAGTGCTTACTGCACCACCAGGCAGCCCTTTCTTGAAATGTCCCCCAAAATAAGCAGATGAGACAAAACCATGGACTGTATACATAATGGACAAACCCTCCGCGCCGTCACTCGTATGTTTCTGAAGAGCTGAATTAAAGCTCAGTGGGCGGTTCCCAACACCGCCATCTGCGAGTGATTAAAGCCATCTAGAGCAGAGGGCGGGGCAGATGACCGACACCCATCAAACTCTGACATGATGTAGCTACGAGCTAACTGAGCTAACCAAAGCTAACAGATTGGCATGCACTTTTAGCCAGAACACTGCAATCGAGTGACGCTGCTACCCTCTACTACATTTAACGTGAGGTCGAGGCTGAGACCTTCATTGGAGTACATGAGGGGGGCGGGCTTGCGCTAGCACTAGCGCTAGCACTAGCACTGATAGCTCAGTTTCAAGCTTTAATTACATCTAAATGGATGCAGGGCTACCAACTCTCACGCATTTGACTCTTTTCACACGCTCTCACACCACACCTCCAATATCTCACGCTGATTAATCAGTGCCGGCAGCTACTTTGGGGGCAAATTTCGATTTTAAAAGTAAGTCAACTAATTTAAAATGTATTTTTTAGATCCAAAGAAGTTATCTATGGTTGTTAGTTGCTTAGTAGTTGCAGCTTCGGTGGCTAGCGGGTAGTAACTCGCTTATATATTTAATTTAATAAACATATATACAATTTAAAAAGTAACAAGCGCTTTATGTATTTATATTGAAGCTTATCTGTATAAAATATTACGTTATCTCCCGTGCTACGTGACGTTACGTGACCGCCGTGGAAGGCGCGGTCACGCGATGCAGGTCTGTTTCATTTAACCATTTTCTTTGACCAAGGAAGGACCGTGTCCTCGTAAGCAAGGCGCCTTGACACTGAGAAACACCCTAAAATGTTTTTTGAACCCGGCTGTAAACATGTTTAGTTCTGCTGTGAAGTTGTCTTCACTTTTGGCAGGCGGAGTCTGCCTCTTGGGCAAAACTGACGACTGTTTAGGTTTATAAAGGAACATTTACACAAATCAATGTAAAAGGATCAAGCTTATCAATGTCCTTTGATGTCTTGATCAAAACACTTTTCTTTTGGCCTCAGACTAGCTGTTAGCTCATCAGTCCTCTCCTTTAAGGCAGGAACCAGGTGTGTCTCACCTGCAAAGATGCGTAGGCGTTTGCGCCTCGGCGGCGGCCCCAGCCCCGACACCCCAGCACACTCGTCCTCATCATCACAGTCCCCGCTTGTCAATCCCTCTTCGGCCTCGTCGCTCCACCCGTTAGCTCCGCCTCCTCTTGACCTGGCTCGCCAACGCTTCTCCGACACCGTTACCGTGTTCAGCAGCTGCAGAGGGAAAACCAAGGCAGGATTAAAGAAAGTGACGTTAAAACACACACGGTGAGCAGAAGGTGTCTTCACCGAATATCAAAGCGGTGAAAATGATCCAGAGGAGTCTTTGGGCCTCGGCATGTTCCGTGTGATTACAGGAGTATGAGGGGAATTCCAGACACAAACTCTGCAAATTCTAAAAGTGTCGCTATTTACCAAACTTATAATCACTGAGAAGGAACAACGTTTTGGTAGTTTTGCCAGCCTTGTGTATTTTAGTAGAAACGTGATTCATTCAAAGGCCTGTGGCTTTCGGTCCGTGTAATTTACCGGTAGAAAAGGAAACCCAGTGGGTGAGCAGACTGGTGAAACTGTTTTTACTGGCAAAACGTATTGTCTTGAGTGGTTTTCTCAGGGCCGAAACACAACATCACACACAGCTCAAGAGAAAATCTGGAGCTCAGGGTCTAAAATAAAAAAATGGAAATGAAGTGTTTTCTTTTTATAAATGTTTCTGTTTAGTTTGTCCAACGTGTGAAAGACCCAGATGCTACAAACACACATCATGTCAAGCTGTAACACAAAACTAATGCACATTTGTACTGTTATTATGGGATAGACAACCAGTTTCATATCCAGTTCAGCTTTAGATGTGAAAACATTCTGCAGATTACAGAAGCTCAGAATGACTTGATCAACATTCCAGGTTTATTTAGTAAGAGCTGTGGTGAACTAAATACAACATAAATAATATTGTGTCACAAAGCTGTGAAGCAATTTCATAAAGGCCCATTCACACTAATGATGCTACGCTCCGCACGACCTAGTGACCTTACGTTGGTCCGCCTACTCTGCTGCACACTTCCTGTTCAATCACATTATGAGATGAGAATGAAATATTACCCCTAAAGAATAAACTGTCATTAGGATTTTATGGGGTGGACTCCCAAACCTCAGACTGACCAAATTTGTTTTTTAAGAAAGAAAAGAAAGATGACAGCCAGGCATAAATTAGCCTCAAAACCAGTAAGCACTGGTTATGTTGAAATGAAATACAAAGTCATAGGTCCTCATATGCTGCATTTTTCTTGAGACTGCTTTTATTTTGAAGGGTACGCTACACAGGTATGATGGTGTCACCCCAAGATAAGTTGGCGCATGCTAAGCTTTATGAAGAGTTTTTTTAACAAGTCATGGTGATCTAGATAGTCTAGATCTATTATTGAGGGTTATAGAGAAAACAGACATGTACAGTTTGGCTCCTGCCATCACAGGGTTAATTAAGTATGTAGCCCCCAAGCTAACACGGCTCCATCAGATGTGGCAGCTAGCATGCTAATGTTCATATGAGACCAGTGTGACTAGTCTTGTTTTTAAGTTTTAATGACCAAACCACACCCATGTCTCAGGCATCATGAAAATTGGGCCATTAAAGCTGCAATGGCAAATCTGCAAGCTAACTTTTGAACACCAACACGGTCACAGGACTCTGACCCCTCCAGTCAGCTATCATCCCATGGCCACGTCCGCCTGACGTTGGAACCCGTGTTGCCACAGTAAATGACAGAGCGCCAAACATCAGTCACCATTTTCTAGGTCGAAACATCTTGGGGTGTTTCTCAATGCCAAGGAACCTTGCCTTGATGTCTTGGCCCCGCCCCGGTTGCCTAGGAGATACGTCATCGGGAGCCGCCAAGACGTGTTCCAATGTTCATGTTCTACCGAGGCCTGTGTTCTCCGTTTGTTAGCCATTTAGCTAGCCGAGCAAGGATACACGGGAGGTGTCTTGTAGCCTAGCCTTGGTCAAAAACTACCCACAACACACTGTGGTATTTTCAAAAGGATGGCGGATCAGAAGCCAGCAGCTACTTCGGGGGCAAATTTCAAGTTTAAAAGTAAGTCAACTAATTTAAAATGTTTTTTTTAATCCAAAGAAGTTATCTATGGTTGGTTAGTTGCTTAGTAGTTGCAGCTTCGGTGGCTAGCGGGTAGTAACTCGCTTATATTTTTTATTTAATAAACATATACACAATTTAAAACGCAAAAGGCTTGTTATATCTTTATATTGAAACTAATACGTATAAAATATAACGTTATCTACCGTGTCACGTGACGTTATGTGACTGCCGTGGAAGCCGCGGTCACGCGATGCAAGTCTGTTTCATTTAACCGTTTTCTTTGACCAAGGAAGACATTGTCTCGCAAGGCCAGGCACCTTGACATTGAGAAACACCCCTTATGTTGTCCGTGGCTTTAAACGGTGTTCCCCTTTGGGGACTCTAGTTTGTCCTAAAGTTGAAGTGGTAGCAGCCGGCTGTTTCTCCTTCACTGATATTATTGAGCGGAGAACCCCTCACATCAGTGGTGTTCTGTTTGTAATGAATGGAGAACCCAGGGAAGTGCTGCGGTTCGATGAGACAGACAAGCGAATGGTCCAATTGTTGGTTTTGGTCCAAAAAGTGTTATTGGCTGAGGTTTTTAGACAAATGCGAGAGAACCACCACGTTATTTTTTTATTTTTATCTCTACAGAATAGTTATTGCTATGTTGGAATGTTGTTGGGACATGACGACGTTTTTTAAGTTAGCTTGTTTTGCAGATTTGTAGCATTAAAGCAAGAGATTATTAGAAGTTTAAAAAAATGCAAAGAAAAAAAGGGAAATATATCCTGAGTGTAACCATCCACGTGTGAGCTTGGACTGAACCTACACATCTGTGCTCTGTCCATCTTTTTGGCCCTAAAACACACGATGGAGAGCCAAGCCAAAGGAACAGATGTGCTGAATTCCAGCCGCCCGGCCTGCGAGCGTTGTTTCATCGAAACCACACTGCCTCCTGCTTGTTTAGTTTTTATTTATTTCCTTCCCATCTGCATACGTCAGCATGCATTTTTGGTTGTTGTTGGGTTTTTTGTGGTCGTCTATGGGAGAAAATTGAGTTCATATGGGCCTTGTCTCAGGTCAGCTGCCTGGGCTCAGACAGCTTGTTTGTGATGGTGAGATGGGAAGTGGAGGTAGAAAAACCCAGAGCTGATCACAGAATGACATCAGTCTGAAGATAAACAACCCCGCTCCCTCTGCTTGTGTACACAAGCTAGCCCATTTGGGTTTTGTGAGTGACATAAACTCTAAAGTTTCAAGTGGAAACACACATTAGGTTGTTCCTAGCAACACAGCCCAACAAACCTTCTTTCATTTCCCAAAACTGAGGCCATAGATGGACAATGACCACAACTTTTCTGAAGGCCTGGTCACTTCAGACCAAACACGAACTCACAGGCAGATTCATAGAAATATTTCCACTTCTGTTTGAGTCGACGCAGCAAAGCTCCACCTGCTGAAAGAGCTGAATTCTCTCTGGTGTCACATAAAAATCCTCAGTTATCTCCAAGAAATAAACCGTCGAGCTGATGAATGAGACTTTAATGCACTGGACTCTTTTTGTTCAAGCCTTAAACGTGTTTGTCTGCATTTGCCAGAGTTCTCCAAAAGATTTACTGAGGTCCTGAAATTCCTCCTCGTGGTTTTGTATCTTGGCAACGTGTTGGGACTCTGGGTGGGGAGGGCCACCTCGCTAACCTTGTTAAAAAGGCAAACAGTTGTAAAGCAGGGGGAGAAAGCTGTAGCTCACATGTACTTCAGCGGAAATCCCTAAAAAAGGAAGGAATGGGGCGAGGGGCACGCTGCCGCTGACTTCCATATGTAGCACACCACAGTCAACAGGGAGAAAGCCATTAGCGTTAGCAAACAGAAGTTTTTATGCTAGGAGCAGGGTGGATTCTAGGATCGGTCGGGTTCATCGGAGTTCCAAACATCAAGTTCCAACTCTTATTATCTTCTCAGTGAATTACTAAAGCAAGGTTTGTGCTGTGGGACAAACAAAACATTCATTTCCTGGGATTAAAATAAGTGGGGCTGGGAATACCCTTCTGGTGTTTGGATACGAGGTGACATGTGTGATGGCATCCAGAAGGGAAGAGAGACATTTAAGAGATGGTTAGTCGTGAACCCTGAGTCATAACGTTTCGTGTTGTTGGAGGGAGACGCAGGAGTGACGTAAAAAGGTTTCTGCAAAAGTTCACTTAAAGCCAGAGAAGATGTTGGAGGCTACGGTCGTCCATTAAATAGTCCAGAGAGGAAAAAGTCCGCTAACGCCATCAGAAGATGAGGATGTGTTAACAATCTTGTTGATGGACATAGATGGATGAAACACAAGTGTCTTGTTTTCCAAAATACAGAATGGAAATTGTTTTTCTAAGACTAGAGCGGTGTCTCTCTGTAAGGCGTGGCGGTGTCGTTCTTCTGTCTCAGCCTCTTTGTCAGGACACTGTGGCCGCTGCCCGCGGACTGTCTCTGCTATGGCTGCGGCAGGAGGGATGGGTGGGATGCTGTTTGTTTTCCAAAGTGACGCTGTGCTTCTGGTATGGCTGAGCCACTAAGTGAGTGATCGACCAAGAGTCTCCAGATTTACCACAAGACAGAGAAGTTTTTCTGATCAGAAATCCTCCAGAAATGTAAGAAATGAGGAGGGAACACAGACAGAAGCAGGAGCGAGGCAAAAAACTCTGATTTGTCTGATCTGAGCGTCACATCAAGAGCTGGCTAGGAAAAACAGCTGGACCTGGAAAACATGTAATCAGTATGGCTGCAGGCATCCCGCAGGCCGCAGGGTTCACCTCCCTTCAACACAAAAACATAAGCAACAGCGAGGAAACATCGACTCCAAAGCCCAAACACGTGGCAGGTTGCTCAGCGCAGGCCAGGCCAGACAGAGACACACAAACCACAAGTCCACCGCTGCCTCCGAACACGACACGAACTTCACACGGGGTCAACGTGACAGCTGCAGCTGAGCCTCCGGGTTTGGGCCGAGAGGAACCAATCTGCTCTGCTCATCAGCTGTGGTCTTCAGCACCAGACCCCAGTTCACACACGGGTGATGCTGAAGCAGGCAGAGGATGAGCGACGAGGGACCAGCGTCTGGGTCACATCCTTTATGTGCGTCCAACATGTCTGGACAAGCCTGCACGACCGGGCTCAGGCGGAATCTGCTGCTCCGAACGTTCCTATCAATGCCTCGATTCATCTTGTCCACAAATCTAATCCACAAAACCTAAACTCCCAAACAGACTACTCACCATGTGCTCATAAATAAAGCCACCGTTTCACCATCTGATGTCGATAGCTTCCATAATGGCTCTGAGGTGAAGGCCTAAAAATGCAGACGGTCATCACATGCTTTTTTTCAGATGACATCATCGTGAAAAGCTGCCCTGAAATTTGAACTACTCTAATAAAATTTGGCACAACATCAGATCATATCTGACGTAAGACGGTAGCTCCCCAGTGGAAATGTTTAGTTCCTTACAGGAACCAGCAGGTTACTGGTTCTAAAATAATCATGTGGCCATTAACAGAAGTCCAAATGAATACTGGTGAAGGACCATTCCAGAGCGAGCCTCTGTGAATGGTCCAGTATGAATAAAAGGAGT